AATGTCACTTTGGCATTTTCTTTAAAAACTTAAATATACATTCTAGGAATCATGCTCCTTATATTTATTCAAATAAACTGAAACATGATCTACACAGAAACCTGCACGTGGATACTGACAGAAGCCTTATTCATAACTGTCAAAATCTGAGAAACAAGATACACTTCAGTAAAAAACGTACATCGAGACAATGGAGTATCATTCTGTAAAAAGAAAAAAAGCTATCACATAAAATGATATGGAGGAATCTTAAATGTGTATGACTAACAAGCCAATCTCAAAAGTACCTTATGATTACAACAATTAGATATCCTAAAAAAGGGAAAACTACAGAAACAGTAAAAAGATCAGTGGTGGCTGGGGGTGATGGAGAGAAGAGAAGCACAGGCGATTTTTAGGGCAGCAAAATTCTAAGGTATCATACTACAACAGCAGATGTCTATCATTCTACATTTGTCAAAACCCAAAGAATCAAAAGTAAACTATATACTTTGGATAATAATGGAATGTCACAGATGATAAGAAATAATACCACTCTGGCACAGGTTACTGAAGGGGTGGTAGGTGATATAGGGAATATGTGGGAATGGGGGTACATGGGAAATCTATTGCTTCTGTTCAATTTTGTTGTAAGCTCAAAACTGCTTTAACATATAAAATCTTCTTTAAAAGTCAAAGTAATTCATTATGTTAAGTAAACAGGAGAGAAAACATATATACATTTATTTTAGCAGATGTAGAAAAACCGTGACAGAATTAAGCATTAATAATTAAAATTTAAAATCTCAATAAACTAATAACAGAACATAATTTCTTCAAATCAGATAAAGGGCATCTACCAAAATGCCTGTAACTAGGGTCATGCTTAACAGTGAAATTCTGAATTTCTATAGGTGAACATAGTCTCCCTTTTAACATTAATTCAACATTGTATTAAAGAACAAGCTAGACAGAAAAGAAAAAAGGTATGAAGTCAGAAAAGTGAAACTGTATGTTTTCTCAAATAATGTAAATGTTTACACAAAAAATATGCAACAACCCAAACTATTTCAAAAAATAAAAATAATAAACTTATAAGGTCTTCAAAAAATAAATTCAGATACAAAAAATCAATCATATCTACATATTGGTAATAAAATATTTAAATATTAAGAAAAGTTTAATGTCGTTTACCACCATGTCAAAAACTTACATACTTAGAAATAAATTTAATAAAATGATAAAACCAATACATTGAAACTAAAATACATCCTTGAGTAAAATTAAATGATACCTTAAAAAACAAGGAGAAATACTCTGCTTATGGATATCTAGTAGATATCCATGTCAGCATTCCCAAAATTTGTAAGTTCAGTACAAACTCAATTATAGCAGAATACCAAGAGCCTCTTGAGGAAATTAACACTCTGATTCTAAAAAGCAAAAGCCACTGAATAAATCTTTTAAAAAACTGTAGGAGAACACAAACTTCATTCATTACATAATTTCAGCATTATAGTATAAAACTACAGGAATCAAGACAATGTAGCGTTGGGCTAAAGACAAAGAGAGAGGAGAAATAGAACAGGCAGCATAGCACCCTTCTTGTAAGGGTGCTAGGTAACATAATTTAATAAAAGGAAAATATCCTTTTCAAGAAAGGATGCTGAAACTTCAGGAATCCATATGGGGGAAGAAAAAAAAAAGGATACTACAAAAGAGGATAGAGCTTCTCTTCCCTCCCTGGAGACACAATGCTTTAGGACCCTCAATGTGTACAGCTTTCTGGAAGTCTCTGGACTCCCCCACTTTTGGGCTTTCAAAGAAACTGCATTAGGCAGGCATGACTGATTAAATCATTGGCCACTGATGATCAACTTAATCTTCAGACCCTCTCCCTTCCACTGAGCTTGAGAAGTGAGACTGAAGTTCTCAGCCCTCTAATCCTGCCCTGATCTGTCTAGTGACTAACACCAACACCTTGCAGAGGGTATATTTAGGGGTTGCCAACCAGCAGTCAGTTTTTAACATACAAATGCCTTGCTGGGTATAGAATCCAGGACCTTGTGACCACTGGGCCAGCACTCTACCACTAAGGTATATTTTTGGCCCTAAAGAGAGCTTTTAAGGAAAAAAGAAAAAGAGTAAAGCATATGAATGTAAAAGAGAATGTGAATGTGATGAGCAAGAGGAAAGATATGGATAAATCTAAATGAACAGGTAAAGTATAATTATATCATTTGGGGTTTCAAACATATGTTGAATCAAAAACATCACAATAATGACCCTAACAAATGTAGAAATTAAGCAAATGGGAATTAGCAACATACAAATTTACCAAGAGTACATGTAGCAATCTCTAAGGACTAAAGCAAAAGCAAAGTAAAACTAAGAAATCTGTGGGAGGTATGAATGTTAAAATATTCTATTATTCCAAAAAAAAATGAAAGAAATGAGAGAAAAATGATATAAAAGGGGCAAGATAAATGTCAACTAACTATATGCCAATTAAAAGATAACAGATTTTCAGAATGGATTAAAAATCAAAACCTAACTATATTGTACTTAACAGTAGACATATCACAAAGTTATCAAAAGCTTAAACTAAAGCAATGGAGTAAGACATTTAATGCAAATATTTTTTAAAGTGAGAATAGCTCTACTAATGTCAAATTAAAGAAAATTTAGGTCAAAGTATTACAAAGAGTGCATTCCATAATGAAATTCCATAAGACTCACTAGCAAGATATAATACATAAACTCTACATTTTTTATCAGCAAAACTGAAAGAAATAAAAAGAAAAAAATCTCTTTCAGTAAATAAGTCAAGAAAGCATAAAAAGTAAAAAAGACATAAACTTGGCCTAAATGATATTTATAGTGCAGTTTCAAAGGACTACAATCACCAAGTGTACATCCCCTGACCACTTTGATATATTTTAAAGCAATGACAGAAATTTAACTAAGAAATCCTCCAAATGTCTAGCTCTCACCTACAGGAGGCCGAAGCAGGAAGATTCCAAGTCTGAGAGCAGCTTAGGCAAAATTAAAATAAAATAAGGAATGGAGGATATTCTCATACCAGAAAGTATGAAAAACTTCTAACTTCATAGCACAAAACAAACCATATTGAAAATCTAAAGCCAGATTAGAAATCACACAACATTTTGAGCAAAACAGTAATGAAAATATGATGTATCAAAATGTATTACCTACAATCAAAGTTCCTTATAGGAAATGTAAAACTTACAGCTTTAAATAAACTTTTTTTTTGGTAGTCCTAGGAATTGAACCAGTGCCTTGAACATAACTGCATCCTCCCTGTCTGTCTGCCTGTATTTTGATACTGGATCCTGCAAAACTGCCCAAGCTGGGCTTGAACTTGCAATCTTCCTGCCTCAGCCTCCCAGAATGGTGGGATTGCAGATCTGTACCACTGGGCCTGGCTTTTAAGGCATTCCTTAAAAGAAAGGCTACAAATCAATGTTGAAATATTTATTTGAATAAATTTTAAAAGAACAGCAAGTTAAAACCCAAAAAAAAGAAAATGTTTCAAAGCAGAAGTTAGTAAAACCCAAAACTAAACTATAACATCAAAACCCAAAAGGCTGAAAAATAATTCAGTGAAATAAAAATAAAGCTGACAAACCTTGTGCAAACACAAATAAAAAGAAACATCATTAAATCACATGAATCAAATAATATAGTAGTAAGTCTTAAAACTTAAATCATATGGACAAACCTAACAAATTAAAACATAAATAGAAAATCAAAGTGATCTTATTTCCATTTAAAAAAAAATAAACATAGGGGCTGGGGATTTAGCTCAGCGACATAAGCACCTGCCTTGCAAGTGCGTGGTCGTGAGTTCGATCCCTGGTACCGGTTTTAAAAAAAAAAAAAAAAAATTATTTAACGCTTTCTCATCACAACCCTCAAGGCTAAGAAAGCTTTACCAGTGAAATCTTATCAGTATGTAAGGAATCATTAACAATCTTCATAAACTTCTAAAACACAGTAAAAAAGGGAACACTCCTCTTTTCTTATGAGATCAGTACAAATAAAATACCAAAACCTAATCCCATGCACATAGGAACATTATAGGCAAATTTCTCATAAGAAATAGATATAATGATCATTTAAGAAGAAAAAGAATAAATAGCACACCAAACCCAGTGATACATAAAAAGAATGTAAGTAACCACACTGAGATTATTTTAGGAATACAAAGTTAAACATTTGAAAACAAACCAGTTTAAATCAACACATTAACCAAGTGTCTTAAAAAATGCAGATAAAGCACTTTATTAAAATTCAACAAAGTTCATGATTTTAAAACTGTAACATGACTAGGTATGAAGTCAATAAATAAAATTTAATTAATGCAATTATGATTTCAATAATTAGAAAAAATTTAACAAACCATTCTAATTATACTAACATCAAGAATATCTGGGAATGAATCTTCTGAAAAATATGAAAATCCTCTTATTAAATGAAAGCTATGAAACTTTAAGAGAAACATTACAAGTGGAAGAATATACCATCTCCAATATAGCTGCCTTGATATTAAGATTTAAATGATCTACAAATTGATCTTTAATTTCAATACAGTAATAATCCAAAGTTCAGCAGAGAAGGGTGTGTGTGAGTGTTTAGAAACTGAAAACTGATTGTAAAATGTGATGAAAGAAATCACGAGTAGAAGGAGTCACAGTTTATATACCACAAGATACCAAGATTTCTTATCAACTAGAGTAATACACAATAGTACGACACAAAAACCAAAGGAAAAAAAGAAAGCCCTGAAATTTACTTATATTAAATTGACATATGAAGTACATGAAACATCTTAGAAAAAAATAATTACATAGAGATTTTCATTCAAAACTTCAGGATATTTTCTGACAACCATATGAATTAAAACCACAAGTACTTTGATTAAATTCTCCCACAACTATAATATATTAAACACTTTCCAAAACAGTCAACAAACAACCTATAAAATCTTAATCTCTTACCTCCCCAAATGCACCTCGACCAATCACCTTTAATATTTCAAAGTCTTCTCTATGTAATCGCATTTGTTTGACTTTAGAAGTAAATGGTTTAGCTGAAACAAAAGAGCAACATCAATTACTTTCTTAGTGAAATGTGATACCAGTTAGATATGAAACAGACACGGAACATTATTCTTAATTCTAATTTAAGTTTTTATTAAGAACTAAGCCAAAGTATTTTAAAATCTCATCAAATTGCATAAGAATAAACTGATGACATCCCTAAAAACAATGTTCCCTTTATTTCTTATATATCAACTAATTTTTCATGAGAAATGTATTTTCAAACACCAAATAAAACTGAAAATAATGCAAAGCAGTAAGCACTATATGCAGAAACGACACATTTACTCTCATATTAAACATTCTACGTATTCTAACTATCAATCTAGACCACAAAGGTCCAAGAAGTTAAAAAGCAGATTTCACGGCATCAGGGAGATTTTCAGCAGTTTCTGCCAGGTAAATTACTATTTCTTTGATGCTCATTAATTTTATTTATCTATCTATTAACAAGCCTATGCAAGAGTCTACACTATGCAAAGCATGATAACAATGACTGAGTTGTAAAAAATGACTATAATATGGTACCTCCCTTCAAGAAGCTCCGTCTTAAAGACAGACCAGTGGGTATGAGCAGCCTCACAATCTAACAATTTGGTAAGATTTCTAACAGAGGTAATATAAAGTGCTTCAGGACCAAAGAAAAGCTAACTCCTTAAAAAGATTAATGGATAAATGCTACCTTTAGGACTAGTAGAGTTTTGCTCTGCTATCTGGATTTAATGCTATAGACATTCCAGGCACAGGGAATAAGCAAATGGAGAGAAGCATAACAGTAAATTTGGTGTGAAATTGCTGTGAAGCATATTATTGGGACACTTAGTTAAGTTTCAAAACTAAAACGATAATTGTATTGTGGCGATATCTAAGACAGTGTTTTTATCCTTAGGAAATAGTTGCTGAAATATGCGCAATTACAAGATCATGATATTCCATTATTATAGAATTTCAAGAAAAAAACTAGAGATGAAAAAGGCCTTAAATGTCATTCAAGGAACTCAGATAATATATTTAAAAACTGGTATTTTAATGACTAAGTCAGTGTTGCCCATAAGAGAAGTTTGGAACTGTCTCCTTTCCTCTGCTCATGTCCTTCTATATTCTGAACAAAAAAGAGCTAATATAATTAAAAGGTTATTACATGTAAGGAAAGTTCTCTTTTCTTCCTTTCATGAAGCCAGAGTGTGACATAACATCTGAGTATCAGGGGAGTGAAATACACAGCAAAACTTAAATTTGTTTTGGTCTGAAGATACTTAGCTCTAACTAACTTAGAAAATAGGTATTCGACATTCTTACAACAATCTACTAGAGATTTCTGGATTTGTGTTTTAGACTGTAAAGAAAGGAAACAGATTGGATCTCTACAATTCATACACTACAGAAGAGGAAGAGTAAAGAAATCAAGTTTGAGTAAGGTTAAAAGAGATCTCACTGTAAAAAAAGAGGTGTAGGAAGCAGCCAGAAACTGAGCACTTTGAATAAAATGACCAAAGCATCATAGGTGTAAACCAACCTAACTCAAGAAATTGTAAGAATGTGGCTACTGTGTAAACAGTTAGGGTCCCAGTTGGAAACAAATTATACTGGTTTAAGAAAAGTTTATTTTTAAAAATGGGTAAGATTTAAGAGAACTCACAAGAAATAGTACAGTAACCTGGGACTACTATCCCTCCATTCCCCAGATTCTATACCAGTGTATCAGAAACACTACAGTGTTTCAGAAACACTACTAAACTACAGTTATTTGAAATCCAGTTAGTTCTTAAAGGATAACTGTGGATAAACTTTCATCTTGGTAACATCCTAGATAATCTGTAAAATGAGAAATGTAGATATTTCAATTTTCTGACAAACTGTAAAACAGCAAAGAAATTTTTTTAACAAGAGTAACTGAAATGTAATTTATATTATTATTTGATATACTGCATATCATCTTCACACGGCTGCACATACCCCAAAAGCTTAAGCAAATGACTACTATAAAATCATTTGTAATAAGGGTTAAATAGTTTTCCAGCTATACAATTTTATGGGAACATACATTAGTGATGAAAAATAATAACCATATTTTTCCTCTAGAAACTGTTACAATAAAAATTCTTTTTTTAAACTCTAGTTCTTTGCTATTTTAGTTTCAGACATTAAAAAATGAGTTCTTTACATTATGAATTTCTTCAGCACTTTCACAGTTTATGAATCATTTAATCAACTGAAGAAGTATCTCTTAATATCTAGGCATTTTACAAGATGCTGGAGGTAGGAACATGTATAAAACAGGATTTGCCTTCAAGTAAACAAAGGACATTTGATGCTCCACTTAAAACTCCCATTCTAGTTGAGTATAAATTACTAGTAAACTGACATTGTTGCTTACATTACATGAAATCAGAGAAATGCACATAAACCTGACAAGAGTATTTTATTACTTACCAATCAAATGTGCCAAAAATTTTTAAAAATCTAAAAGCATTCCACACTGACAAGAATAACATTCACATTATGATGGTATTGTTATGCATAGCTGGTAAGACTATTAACTATAATCTCTATGGAGATTTGGATTTTCATTCTCTTAGCATGGAATATTACTTAAGTAGACATTAGGAGCTAAACTTTTTTGTATTTTGAGACTTTATTTGATGGTTATGAGGGTATTCTGTTGTTGAATACATAGCTGAGACTGCTTTGTTATGGTTTTTGTTGTCTTAGTCCTTCCTCCTTTGAACCCATAACCTTACAAATGTTGGCAAGTGCTCTACCACTAAATTATTTCATTTTAAAGTTTTTGTCTCTAACTTGTAATTCTCCTGCCTCAGCCTCCTATATACTAGCACAAATCTATAGTCCTAGTTACTAGAGGATGAGGCAGGCAGATCATTTGTGCCCAGGAATGTAACACCACCTTCAGAAACACACACATACACATACATACAACAGACACATTGAAGGCTCTAAAGCAATAACACACAAGTATCTCTAGCAGTAACATATAGCATCTAGATTTTGGTTTCCAATTACCATTCTTCATCAAAAAACATGAAGATTCCTGAAAAATGGCAAATATGATAAGCATATCACAGTAATGAGAAAAGTAACATTATATATGCTTCCAAGAGTGACACGCTGAGAATTAAGGAAGCATCACTATTTTTATAGACACTTAAGTTAGGTAGGAATAGTATAAGCAGTCAGACAGGGCTAGGCCCTTGGATGAGTTGGTGCAGAGGATGAGAACACATTACCACTGTGGCCACAAGTACATCTGTTAGAGGCCATGACTCAAGATAAAAAGGGAATGGCCAAGCCTACATACCTCCCCAGGGGTAAGAAAAATGATATCACCTGGTCCAATAAAGAGACATTAGTAACCAGGTGGTTGGCCAAGACTCTCTGATCCACCCTTTCCTAAAAAATGGTCTTTGTTCTTTCCATGTTCACTTACTCCATGACCTGCTTCTTTTCCATTAGATCAATGTTACCTCACAGTTTTGACCCACATTGTCCCCACCTTGACTGTGCTATATAAGTATTTGTGAAGAGGGCTGGCAGCAAGCCTCTTTTGCACCCCCACCCCTTCTCTCAGGAACTATCTCAATGAAGTTTTCCTTCTCTTAACCTCTGTTTTTCTTTAGAACTTATTCTTTGATTTTGGGGACCACAAACTTGGCATATATGACATTTGTCAGGTTGAGAGTTACACTTATTTCCCCTGTATCATTTGGAGGTCCCACTGAGATCATTAGAAAGAGCTAAGAGTTTGCTTTTGCTTCATGGATCCTGGATTGTGACTCATTTCGGTAATCAAAAATTGTTATCCTTGTTTATCAACAGTTTACACCTTGAATTCTAATCTCTTATCTCTTTTTTATGCACTGCTTTTTGTTAAAATGATAATAAATTTAAATAGAGAACATGGGAAGATTATGATATTTCTTTGATAAGACATTTTACTCTTGCATGTAGGATTTTATATTTCTGTTTTATATATGCTCCACTTGGACTTATATTAGTAGCTGAATTTATGGATGCTTCTTGCATAACCTGTTTGACTTATTTTGATTGTTTCAGTTTGTTATGTTAGGCAACAGTGCTAGGGAAAAGTAATGTCAGAGCATCCCCTATTTGACTTTGATACCAACCAAAAATTATAAAATGCTATAAAATGATTCTTTTCATAAAGTCTAGTTTATATTTAGGAAATATACATGTCTATTAATAAATCGTGAGACTTCAACTGCCAATTAAAATGTAATAGGCCATCAGCAGTTCTTAAGACAAGGAGAACAGGTATCACTGGGACAGCCTGGCCTGATCTCTCTTTTACATTCTAGAGTGAAATATCAATCCTGTTCTACCTCAGTTTCCTTTCAGGTCTGATCTTCTATGGGTGAGGTGCCAATCTTAATTCTTAAGATTTTCCACTCAGGTTGATGGTGATAAGTCATGGGCAAATTGTCTCAGTAATTCACCATGAGTGCAAGAAAAGAGTTTCGTTTTTTAAATTTCATTTCTTGTCATTTAATACTTTTCTTTTTACGGGCACATTTCTGTTAAATATTATAGTGAGGAAGGAACCCTAAACTCAACGTCTCCTTCCTATGCAATTATTAAAACTTTCAAAGTGAGCCCATAGGAACTTCTGCTAATGCCAAAGACAGAGAAGTCTTCTTAGATGAAGAACACATATCCCATCTCTGGGTTAAAGGAGATATCAAAATTTTGCTTGTCCAGGAGAACACACATAAAAGCAATGTCCCTGCTTAAGTGTTCTGGGCAACATTCTCCTGGGTATGGGGAATTGAACCTCAGATCCCTCCCCGGAAACAACCAACTTCTGGGTGAGACCAAAAGGAGCTATTTCCTAAGCACAATATTTAAGGGAACAAAACACATTCAGTTTAAGGGAGAATCCCAAATCTCCTTGCCTTGTCTCTCCCTTTTAGGCCTAGTTCTTATCATTTATGTGTGTAAAGGAGGAAGTACCTTT